CCCCAAAACCCCAAAACCCCAAAACCCCAAAACCCCAAAACCCCACAGACGTAATTTTAGGTTGAAGCAACAAAAGCTTATTTGTGATAAACTGGGAGATGTCCCTTATCTTCTTGGATTGCCATATATTGTTGACCACTTGGCACAATGTAATATTGTGGGGTTGGCATCATGACTGGTTGGTAGTAGAAAGGCATCTTTGGGGTAGTCTCAGCAATTGGCCCATCTCCAGCACCGTACTCAGTCCATGAGCCGTCATAGAGTCTGACTCCAGTGTATCCTGCCATAGTCAAGGCAAGATAATTGATGGTAGCTGTGACTCCTGTCTTGCACATGACTACAATATCCTTGGACTTGTCGATTCCTTTGGATTCAAGAATCTCAACAATTTCTGGATATTTCAAGAAGGTGTCATCATCAGAGTTAATGAAAGTGTCAGCTGGGATGTTGATAGCTCCTGGGACATGTCCTTGTCTAGTTCCTGGTGGCAAGTTAGGATCATTTCCATTGAAACTCTGTTCTCCTCTAGCATCAATAAGTTGCATGTTTGGTTTCTTTCCTTCAGCAAATTCGATAATCTCATCCATCTGAATAAGATATGGGGATGGGTCAGCCAAGTCTTCAACCTGGGAGGCTGGACCAGTGTAGTCAATACCTGGGCAAGTTGGATACCCATCTTGAGTGAACTTGAGAAGTCCTCCATCTAGAACGGTAACATCAGTGAATCCATAAGCATGGAGAATATGGTAGGCCCTAGTCATACTCATGTCCATATGAGGCTGTCCATAAAGAACGATCCTATCAGTGAGGTTAAGTCCAAGCTTCTTGATGGCTGAAAGGACTTGGTCCTTAGTTGGATAAGCGTTAGGCAAGTCGGATGCCTTGTTAGTAAGGTCACTAGAGGTATCCAAGAAGACAGCAGTTGGAATAGAAGTCTCTAAGAATCCTCTATGGGCATTCTCTCCACCCATAGTACAATCAATTAGCTTGATATCCTGAGTAACGAAGGGCTTGAGGTAGTATCCAGTAACGAAGCAGAGTGTTCTCTCCTCAATAAACAGCTTGCTAGCTAGTGCTCTGGTGCTGATAGTCTTTGGCTTGACTGCCACAACTTGATAATAAGGATGTTGAGCGTATACTTCCATTCTTTCCTGATAAAATTATTTATAATTCTTCCTTCTTATAGCTTTACGGGGTTTTGGGGTTTTGGGGTTTTGGGGTTTTGGGG